CTACCCGTGATCTAACACTGCATATTTTTACTTTGCTCCACTACCTTCTTCTGCTATTTCTATTTGTAGAACACTGCTAGACTTGTATCCAAGCCAATCCAAAGTTCTTCTGAAACTCCGTGCGCTAGCAGCAACACGAAAGCAGAACTCGGCAGCGGCTGCAGCAGCTACGGTGAAGGTTTCTTAGTTGAGCGGTGTCAGTCACTTTAGCCTTTGGAGCTGCACTGAAATGGAAGTGCCAGCTGCCAAGAGAAACAGCTTGCATAAGTTGTATTATGTTGTCCTTTTTTTTTTATGACAGGCCTAAAAATACACTACACAGCATTACCAGCCAGCACTGGAAACTGGTGTGCTTTTATTGCTTTGTTTTATACGGAAGGTTTGTTTTCTTGTTGTTACTATTACAAGATAACACTTAAAGCCATGCATTTTTTCAAACAGATGAGGTGGAACTCATTCAGTACTCTTTAAAGAAAGTTTTGCTTTAGTGTGAAAATGCCAAGTCATTTACTCTTCTATTCTCCTTAGAAAAAGGGAAAAAAAAAAGTTTCAAAATATCCTTTGCCATCAGAAGATATAAACAGAGAAGTCAAGGCAAATTCCTGCAGAGCACGTTCAGAGGACCTCCGTCAGCCACATCCTGTCATCCAAAGGACAAAGATGAAGTGAAGCTCCCTCTTCTAATCAAGAGTCACAGAAGGGTTGGGGTTGGACGGGTGCTCTGCTGACCATCCAGGCTGATGGTGCCCAGGCAGCCCATGCACTGGGGTGGTCAGGGGAGCCAGGACAGCCAGGCAGAGGGGTTGTAGCCGTGGAAAACGCGTGTCCCTGGGCATGGAGCAGAAAGTCCATGCAGCGGCGTGGCCCCTCTCGTGCCCTTGGTGCTGCATCCTGACCTGACCTACACGTGTGACAACGGGATCCAAAAGAGAGAGCCGGTGTGAAGTCTGGAAGGCAGACTGAAAATACAGGTGTTTCTGAAGGACTCCTGCAAGCTCACACCCAGGCCAGCGAGAAACGTCAGCTAGGGCCCCAGATTGAGTCCTCTGAGGACTCTGAGCCCTGAGTCTTCTCCACAAGGACAGGGCCAGAAAGACCTTTCAAGGAACAGAGCAGAGCTCCCTTCTGGCTGGTCTTCTAAGACACTGTCTTGTCTTCTGGCACATTTGCTGAGGAAGTGGGAGACCCAGGTTCAAGGCCTTCCTCAATCTGCGAGCGCTGCTCTCACTTCCCATGGGGCTGGCTAGGGGCCGGCTTGTCCGCTATTCCGGGTGAAGCTCTTAGAGTGAAACCGTGTCTTCCATTAAGCGGATGTTTGCCCTCCCCATCCCGCGGCGGGGGCCCAGCTTGTGTCTCAGTGAGTGATCCGAAGTGCGGTTGTGAGGAGCCTCGGGACGCGTCTGGCCTCCTCGGAGCCGCTCAGGCAGACCTGGCTCCTTGGGGGATGCGGGACCAGCCGCCTCATTTCTGGGAATGCAGCTTCTCAGGAAGGAGACCCTGGGCAGCCACGGAAGCAGAAAACTTGAACGTGACGGATGGAGAGACCGCAGAGCACAGGTGATGGAGAGAGGAGGCCCTTCGCGCACCTGGATGTCAGTGCCAGAGTTCAATCAATCAAACTCTTGTTGTAAGCATTACTCCTTAAAGCTCATCTCTTTTATACACAAAGATCCTGGCTCATCTGTCATGATCTTTGCTGCTGCTCTGATAAACACTTCCAGGGCTTATTAAATGTGCCTTATGATGTTATTTCATGGAGACAGTAATTTCACAGTAATCACGTGAGAAACATAGAATTTGCCGCCTGGCCTGGGAAGACTTTTTTCTTCTCACTGCTAATTAAACTGACGTTATTGCAAAATTTTAGTGTGATGGTCATGATTTGGCCTTTGATAACACTTGGGCTAATACTGAGGCATGCAAAGCACCTTCCACTCCTGTGACGTTAGCGGGAGGTGCGGTTGAGCAGCACCTCTTTGGACTCCAGTGTCAGCACTAATAACAACGTTTTGAGGCTGATTTCTCCTGGCCTTACCCAGGAGCGGGTTCTTCTGGTTCTAAGGGGGCAGTTTCACAAGCAGGAAGGCATAGCTGGGGGGGAAGAGGGGGCAGCTGCTTGACCACGGTAGTGTCACACAGCATGCCCTGACGGGTGATCCTGCTGACCACAGCTTTGCTCTGCGTGGTGAGACTGACCATTAATAATGGGAGAGTTGATCAGCAGTGAAGATTGTGAGGACATCATGGAGAAAGGAAGGCTGGAAATGCAGTAGGGCTAAAGCCAAAATTACTTGTGAGAAATACCCAGGTACTAGTGATGGTTGAGGTGAGGAAGGAGGAAAGGGAGCATTGCTGGTGATGGGAGAGGAGGTGGCCGTGTTCTGCCTGGCGTGGATGTGTGTAGTATTTGGCTGTTTAACCACTGTTTCCAGCCCGCAGCTTAGACCCTGCTCCAGGCCCTTGGGTGGCAGAGGATCTCCTGTCTTCAGTGAGTTCAAACTGACATCGTAAACATGTGGAGACCAGTGGGGTTGAAGAAAATGGCTAGGAATGTAGTCTGAGAGGAGTCATTCCCAGGGGTAACGCTTGCCTGTTTGTTCCTTCTCTGTCAGAGACTTGAATACTTCACTGTTTAGAGTTAACAACTTCACAAGAGATTCAATAATATTTGTTTTTGCCCAAATCCCTCGAAGTCTGAGGGAATGGAGACAGCATCAGTTAGAGATGAAGAGCCAAGAAAAGTAAATCATCCTTGGGTCAGAACAAGCTTCCATTTGAAGTGGCCACAGATGGCAAATATGTTGATGAATCAGCGACTTCGCAGACCTCTGCCCATTCGGAGAGCATAAACAAACACGAAAAGGACACAGAGCTGTGGCGCTTTCCGGAGCCTTCCCGGCCCCTTCGTGCCGCTGGGGGATCTCCGAGGAAGAGCCATAGGGAAGGAGAAGGCTGAGACCTTGGGCACGGGTCATCACGGGTCCCATGCTTCAGCTATGCGAGCGTCGGCGCGTGGGGTCATGGGCTCTGCTCCCTGCATGTCCTGGCCACCCGTCAGCATCGCCCAGCGTGCACTTAGCACAGGAGACAGCTGCCGACAACGTGGGATCAGGTGCTCGGGTTGTTCCTAGGCGAAGGTAAGGGCAGAGGGGTTGGGTGAGGACACGAGCTGTTGCTCCACTCTGCAGCGGGACGGAGCAGCCGAACAGCCAGGCCGTGTGGAGCAGGCGGCCCCGCAAGGCGCCTGGTGGAGGGATAGTGGTGAGGGGAAGGGAGGCAGCAAGCCGTGGTGATGCAACTCCTCACGTTACCTGCGTTGGAACCTCATTCCCACGTGCATGGGAATCCTGTAGTCCAGGACCTCGGAAACCTGCCAGGGCCCTAATTCCCTTACTACAATCCCGTGCCTTGGTCTTGTCCCGTTGGTAGCATTGCTCCCTCCATGCGATGCAGAACCAGCAACGATGATCCCTGTTCACCTCTGCAGAGATGTCTTCTCAGACTCTCAGCAGCCCTCCCTGCATCCTGACCTTGATTTCTTGTCTCTGATAGTGACTAAAAACCTTATGAAATTCCATGGCACTCACTCACTGTGGGCCAAGGGTGCGTGCCCAGAGCCGAGTAGACCTCGCACCACAGAAACCCTCCTGAGCTCCAACAAGTCTGGCAGGGAGGGATTTTTTTCCTGCTCCCATTTGCCAAACACCATGTCAGGAGGCCGTGCAGAGACCCCCACTTTGCTGGACTCGTGTTATATATTCTGGGATCTGCTGACTAAGGAAGGCTCCCAAAGAGACCCAGTGTCACTTCCATCCCCTCCTGAATGCAGACCCGGAGGCGGCTGCTGCTGTAGGATAACATGTAAGGGATGAGAAGCGGCCAAGCCAGAGACTCTGCATGAATTGTTCTGGAGACTTTTATAGACAGTCTATCTGGGATAAAACACAGAGCCCGGATCTTCAAAGCGCTGTGTGGGATCCCAGTAAAGTTCCTAGGCATCACATGACTGAAAAATTCTGTGGCACCAGTGTTTTTCTGCAGAGGAATAGCTGAGACAAAGGAAAATGGAGGAAAATGAACTCTGCCATTCCCCAGGAGCAACATCCCACACAATGTCAACCCTGGGGCTTGCGTCTTCACGATTGTAATAGGTATCATAGGAAATGTGAAGGAACCTCTGAGATGCTGGGATTTATTGTCAGCAAAGGAGATGCTTCAAATTCCACTGCAGAGTTGGAGAACATCTAATCCAACTCTGAAGTTAGATTCAAGAAATTGATGGAGCTAAATGGAGTAAATTGCATGAATTTAGCTGTGATGTTTGAGCATCTGTTCACCATGCACATTTATAGAGAAAAGAGAAGTTTCCTGGAGAATTTCTTCACAGGCTTTCATCTGCAAAGTAGCCACCTCACATAGTGATAAATATTCAGGGAAACAACTATATTTTTTAGAGAGATATATTCACCAAATGGATAAAAGTTGTTATGCTCAAAACTTCTGCTTTATTTTCAGGGAGTGAGGAAAGGGATAACCTTTTTGGTTATTCTTCTTAGGATTTCCTGTGCCCGTGCCCAGTGTCTAGAGTAAGTCAGTGTATTTGCGTTGACTTTTTCAGGACCTCAGTGGTTCAAGGCAGGAGTTGGAGGCTACTTGAGGAAGCAGCAAGGGGTTGATGGATTGGACTGGTGGAATGAACAGTAGTGAGCAGTGAAGTGCTGGAGGGAAAACCAGCTTCAGCCAGTGATCACAGAGCAGAACTGCAGAGCGGAAAGATGCCCACCAGGCAATGACCAATGATCATGGCATAGAGAGTCAGTCTAGACACAGCTTTTGTAGCAACTCTTCGAAGACACTTGATTGATTAAGACTCAATGGAAATAGCCTCCCTTCTTCTGTCTGTTCAGCAGCTTTCAGGCTCTAACATGAATTAACCACCATTATCCTAATTTTACAGATAGGGACAGACGAGCTACATGGCGTGCTCTAAGGCACGTGCATGTTCTGTGTCAGCGTGAGGACCTGCCCCTGGATCTCCCAATGATGAGGCTGTTGCTCGTGGCCCTGCGTCATCCTGACTGCAAACAAAGCAGTGATTGACTTTGCCTGTGTCCTTTCTGTGCCTACAAATGGTAAGTTTTTGAGCAAATTAAAGAAACAAGAGAGTCACTCACCTGGTTTATATGTCCAGTCCACATTGTACCGTGACATAATGTACCCTAGAGGAGTCTGTAATTAATATAAGTAATTACCCCTTGCTGCAGAGACATCAGAGACTGGTGGAGCATCTGGATGAAACTTTCACCTTGTTTACCCAGTGCGGATGCTGTGTGATTCAGAATGGCTTTGGGAGCCGGCTGCTGCAGAAACCCCTAAGGTGAGAGGTGAGTGCTGTGAACGCCTGGGCACCAGCTTGACCTCCACTGGACCTCAGTACAGGTGGAGAGACGTCGCGAAAATAATTAGGCAGGACAATTAGTCATCGGCTACTGCAAAGGGGTTTCCTGTGTTTGCGGGCGTTTGTCTCCTCCGTTGGAAAGAGGTGCTATAAAAGCTGGCCAAGGGGTGGGTCTCCGTAGTCCCTTGGCACAAAACATGCATAGGCTCTCGGCACATTCTTGGTACTTCAGTGGTGGTCATTGGGAGTGGGCTCTTCCCAAGGGCCGGGCACAGGTTCATGGATCCAGGTGCCGAGGACACCCAGTCCATGGCCAGGCCAGTGTAAGCAGCACAGCTACCCAAAGCACAGCCCTTGCCTCTGCTTTAGGCTCCCCTTCCCAAACCCTCCTGACTTCTGCTGCTCCCAGTACACGCTGTAGGCTGGCAGTGTTGCCAGGAGCACGGAGTACCTGACTTTTCACAACACCCAAAGACTCTCAGTGTTTGAAGCTTCCCACACTGGCCCGTTTGCTCATTTTGGTGCCAAGTTTTCAGTATTCCAGCTCTGAGTAAAGGGTAATTTTTCTTTCTTTCTTTTTTTTTTTTTTTTTTTTTTTTTNTTTTTTTTTTTTTTTTTTTTTTTTAGATTTCTTAGACCTACTGAATTTTGTTAATTAGTATTTTTAAAGTGCTTAGACATTCTCAGGTTCTTGGTGATCCAGAATATTGCTGCTGGTGTTATTATGACTAACACTACTGCTAATAACCTTAGTGAGCCTGGCAACACTCATTTTAACTAAAATCCTTACCACAGATGAACAAAAATCTAACAGCTTCAGTGATGTGAGGGGGTACATGACTCAGTTACCAGTAACTGCTGTTTACAAGGGGCAGGAAGAGTATATTTGCTCAAATGAAAAAAGGTCAAGGCAGAGGCGCATTTGCTGTTTGTTAATAAGTAATCTAAAGTACAACACAGCTTTACTGTAACAAATAGTCTGGCCAAGCTTTCTTGCCATCACTATTATTCCCAAACCAATTCTGGACAAAAATAACAATTAAAAATATTATAGATTCTCATAGATTATTTTCAACATCTCCAAACCTATAGGGATGATTTGTAGCTGGGAAACAACCTCAACAAGAAAAGCCCTTTCATATTTTTGCCACTGTTTGTCTTAGGACACTGTAGGCAACCAAGGTTGAAATATCAGCTAGGACATTATTTATCTCCTGGGAAATTCTCCTTTGGCCTCCCAGTCAGATCCACGCATCTTCGCTGTGGAGATGTGCCAGCGGGAGCTGTGGTGTGGCTGGCCCGTGTACAGCCACCCCATTAAGCCGTGATGGGTGCCTTACAAAACCACCCACGTCGTCGCTGAACCTGGCCCACAGACAGCAGTTAAAATCCAAACGTGGCTGCTGGAGAATGTCTTTCCCCCGAGTGACTGAGCATATGGGCCCTTGATGCCTCACGGCCCCTGCCCATCAGTGTCTTTTGGCAACGAATGGTCATTTCTAAGTCCTAGCTGTCTTAAGCCACCCTGCACAAGTCTAGGAGAGGGCTGAGACCCAGCCTTTGCGTTGCACCTCCTAACTGCAGGCAGGATTCACTAGAAGAGGCTTTCCCATTAATTATGAGCCACCTAAAGTGCTTATCAGGAAAGCAGTGCTTGTGCCAGCTGCCAGCTGACCACCACCTCTCATCCACAACCCTCAATGTTCACGTTCTTCAGCTGCACTGGCCTGAGGCCCTGTAGGTGCCGCGCGGCTGTTCCCAGCACCGGGATGCACCCATGGTGCTGGTAGTGGGATGAAATGATAATTTCTGCAGCAGGGTGTTTCTAAGCATCTGGAAGCAGCATCACTGCTCCTGGATCAAAGGAAGCAGTTTGGGTGCCCTGGAGCCCTCCTGCCTCCAGTTTTCTTGTTGTTTGGTGCTGCTGACATGGAGGGGAGGACACACGGCCAGGGGAAAGCAGCAGGGTTGGTGCCACCCTTTGTGTCTGTGCCAGGCTGTCACGGGTGGCTACAATCCAGAGCCCCACGTGGCTCTGCAGGGAGGACAGGGGATCGGTGCCGCTCTCATGAGAGCTGGCTGAGCTGCAGAGCTGGGCGAAGAGCTGCCAGGGTAAGCAGGGTGAAGAGGCCGGCGGTGCCATGGCTCGAGGAGCACGTGGCCGCGGCGGGCAGAGCCCAAGGTGCCCGGGCTGGCGGCCTCGCGGAGCGGCGATGCCACCTGCGCCTGCACGTGAGCGCTGCTCATGTGGTGTTTGTTTGTCCATGTCCCCGCCGCAGCGCATGCCCGGGCGCAGAGCACGCCGCTCCCGTCCCTTGGTGCTCTTTCCTACGCTCTGTCTTCTTCTGGGCTCTTTCCAAGCTACTGGTGAACTGAAGGAGTCCTTCATGACACTGACACACGGGTAAAGGCCAGAGAGGATTTACTTCTTCTTTCACAGGGATGGGAAGCCTGCAATACCAGATGACTACTGAAACGGTGGGAAATCTAGTATCCCCTGGAGCCAGTACTGAGCACTAGTCATCAGCCCACACCAAATTTCACTAGCATCAGGACAAGAGCTTCAGGACTGTGCATCCTTCATGCCCAAATGAGTGGCATGGAAAGAGAAGGAAGCCCAGGGCTGCAGCGTGAGGACACACACTCGGTTCCAACCAGTGACCAGAAGTCTGGGAAAACATGCAGGTGGCCTCACAAGCGCATGAGTAGCCCATTATGGCAGGCAAGGGGAGAAAAACCTGGGGAGATTTCCCCCGTTGCCATCTGTTAATTTTCCCCGAACCTGTTATTGATTTTCTCAGCTTTGCGTACTGGGTTGCAGCGCCCTGCGACGCTGCGGCTGCTCAAACGCGCCGCCCTCACGGCCTGGGCTCAGTGTGGTGACTAGCCCTGGCTGGCCCTACCCGAGCACTCTGTGCACCTGGCAGGCCACAGCCTTGGGGAGAAAATCCTTCTGTTTTCCGCTGGACATTGTGCCTTGCTGCACTTGAGCCTGTGACATGGTGAGTGCCATGGCTTGACCCACCAGCCTGCTCTCATGCAGTCTCTCCAGCCCCTCTAGCGTGAGAGACTCTGCCCACAGTCTGCAGAGCCACGTGGAAGGGGCCCAGAGACACAGAGCAAAGTTTTGCTTTGGTTTAGCCCACACTCTATATAGAGGCTATGCTATTTTAGACACCTGTGCAAAGCCTGCCCATCAGCTCCTTTGATTTGATCAGTGCACAGGCACAAATGACACAATAAAAATAAATGCCGCTGTTGCGGTAACAGGCGTTGGCCTTTTTGCATGTGCCTTGCAGTGTCCGTAGCTCCGTCATGCCTAATGATGGTCTTGGGACTGAGGTCTCTAGCAAAATTGCTCTGTTTTAGCTTCTGAAATGCACAGTTTGGAAGAGCATTTTTGTTGTTGGGAGGTGTCAGAAGGTGATGCTGCCTCCACAGCCTGGACTGAGCGCAGGTTGAGCAGCTTTGCTCTTCTTTCCCAGCACCTGGGAGAGGAGGAAGCCATGGAGTGCTTTTAAAAAGTGTTTTGTCCTGTGCTGGGACCACAGAGCCATTTCCAAAGGAGCTTTCTGAGCACTGCAGCAAATGGAGAAGTGCCCCTTGCAGCAGTTGTTGCAGTAAATGAATCGTGTAAAAGATTTTGCTTTGTATTTCTGAACAAATCGTGGCATTTTCCAAAATATTTTTGTGTATTTTGTATTTGTGTATTTAGTACTATCAATTTCTATTAGAACAAATTATCCGTGCAGCAAAAATGGCAGTCAACCAGACCAAATTATAACCTTTCATGAATTCTGTCCAAATGGGAGCTTATCCAGTTGAACATTGAACAGGGGCTCAGAGAAATATCACAATTTCTGCTTTTTTTTATGGTAAAATAATTTCTCTGTTTGTGAAAAAATGTCTCTATGAGCACTGCAAACAGGTACAGAAAGTATTTCACTATTTCATCATTATCTAAATACAAATAAATATAATTGTTTTCTTCTTTTAATATGACACAGATCCATTTCCCTCCTTCTCCCCTCAAACTTGTTCTAGAAAACAAATTTTTTTCTGGAAGAGAAAAAGGTCCCGTCACATGTTAAGAGGGAACCTGTGGAAATTAGTGTGGTGTGGGTGGAGAGCAGCTTTATCCTTCTGTAGCAATATAGACTTTCTCCGTTAGCACACACTAACTCATGTAACTCCACACTGTGTTGGCCAGGACCTGCATGCCAGGCTGCACCTTGTAGCCATTTGCAGGTGCAATTTTACATTTTCAAAGTTACACCCAAAAAGACTCTGTTATCTCAGTGGTAAGCTCTGTGATTCCTGATTTCTAGCGCCCAGCGTCTCGCACGGGAGCCAGCGTGTCCGAAGCAAGTCCAGAACCTCCACACGAGGACCGGGACACTCAACCAGTTGATTGAAGGACACAACAGGATCATCCACAGCCCTGGGTGCCGCTGCCGGGGGGATCCAGGCCCGCATCTCCTGTGCTGGTGAGCACAGCCCTGCCATCGCAGCGCTCAGCAAGGACGGTCCATCTGCAACGCCGATTGCCAGGAAGGGACAAGCAGGTCACTGTTGTCCTCTGGGTGTTTGAAGCCACCCTCCATCTGCAGCTGAACGCCCAGACCACAGGGCAGGGAGCTGGACACCCCTGGCCTGCTTCCCGCCCGGCATGGGCCGCTCCGCAGCGATGCACGGGTGAGTCACCGGGCCAGAAAGCCCGTGCGCACGGGAGAGCGTGACTGTCTTTCCTAATGGTTAAAGCATTCACATGGGAGTTCTGGGCTCTGGACTCTGCTCCCAAGACTGTTTATGCATTTTACATGAAACAGTCACTAGGTAACATATAATCCCTGATCAATCCCTCAGGGGATTTAGGCAAAGCAACACCCAGTTTCTGGATCTCGATCAGACTTAGGTGTGAAATGGGCTGAGCTGCTTGGCCCTGTCAAGCCTGGGGCAGTTCTGGGCATGCACAAAGGTGGAACTCCAGATCGCTCAAGAGCTTGAACGTATTAGAAAAGCCGGAGATTGAAGGGCCAGATAGTGGGAAGGACCAGAAGCTACTGAAGGATGTATATGCAGACCTTTCAATCCAAACTGAAGATTAGGGGTAAACCATCAGCTTCTCTATTGACAAGGGTCTCTTAGAAACAACTGCATGCTCAGATTCCTGAAATGGAAACTTTTTGCACCATCAATTACTGCTTTTTTTTTTTTTTTCTCCTTTCTCTAATTTGTCCCATCCGACCCAGTGCGTGTGCATGTATTTATTTCCACTAGGCTGCCCGTGCTGAGCTGCACAATGGTGCTGCTGTATGAATAGCTTGTTATTCTTACCAAGCGTGACAACTGTTGTAGCAAAATCAAGAGCAACCTGCTCTAATGTAAACTGATTTCAGATTGCCCCTGGCAGTTCCAGCTACCTCATCTAACCTCTTTTCTTTTTGACAGTCTTTTTTTTTTTTTTTTTTTTTTCCAGTGAAGACTCACCCTGTGCTTTCATGTAAGGTAGTTTATCAAGGTGGTTATTGCACCCGTGTCCACAACAGGCAGAGAAGCTTCTCTGCTATTAGCCATGGTGCATTTTAAAGCCACCTGGTTTCTCCTGCAAATGCACGTCAGCTGCGAGTCTATCCCGAGGTGTCTGAGGACTGTTGGTACCTAAGCTTCGCCTAGCTACGAAGCACCCTAGACGTGTGTGTTTGTGTGTCCAGCTCTTGATGGGGCTGTGGCATCTTGATACTCACCCGCACACTTGGAGGATGCCTGTGGGCCTGGATAAATGCAGACCAAGAGAAGTTCATTTCTCCTAAGGACAGTGGTGTCACTCCACATGTATGCCAGACACCAAGCGGGAAGCATTTGCATCGGTTGGGGCAGCAGCGGGGAGATGGGGTGGATTTGGGCAGGGTACTGTGGGAGAAGAAGTCTGGTTTGCTGTCACAGCTGCCAGATTGGTGTGTATGATGGGTGTGATATAAATTGCTATCTATAAATAAATACCACAACAGCGTTTTAATGAGGTGTTATCTAGTAGCACTTGTCCAGGCTGGTTAGTGTTATGCTAAGGCTGGAGAAGTATCTCTAAGCAAGCTGCTTGACTAAACCTTTGTAAACATGGTCTCACCCAAGATCTAACTAGGATTTGTTTGGATAAGAGGTTTTGTTTGTTTGTTTCTGACCATAATTTCAAATACACTTTTTTTTCCCCTTTTTTAAAAAATTCTTTTTAAATTCTTGGCCTAGGTTTTGTGTCTATGTCACAGAACTCAAGTGGTGCTGAGGCAAGGGCTAAATCACATGCCTTTTCTGAGCATTCATTGCTCTTCTGACAACAAGGACCTTGCAGAAGGGCTGGATCATCTGGGATTTGGGGGGGGTGGGGAGGCGGGATTTGGAAGTGTGACTCACGGGAGTGTCCTGTGTCTCTCCAGAGCCCGAGTCATGTAACATCCTCACGCGCTGGCCCTCCAGCAGGATTGCTGCATCCTCTGCCTCTCTTGCGGTGCACACGCCGCTGGTGCATTTGTAGCCAGTGCTGTTGCAGGCAGGAAGGTCCCATGGATCCACAGCCCGTGTTTGCAAGGGCGCAGCTGAGGCCCGCAGCGAAGCACGAGGCTTCTGCATGGCAGCCAGCTGCCCTTCCGAGCCTTCGGTGGCCTGGGCTCCTGGGCAGACCTGACTATTACAGGACAGTGTAAGTCCAGCTCGTGCCTTGTGCACATGAGCACCTTGTCTGGCCAGCTCTGTTGGGTATCCCCCCTTGGCGCTGTGTCACAGTGCACACGGGGCTCCCCTGCATACCTGCACACGCAGGCTGGTCAGCCTAGGCATGCCAAGGTAGGTCTCGGGCTAAAGGCGAACTTTGGTTTTCTATCTGAGCCAAATAAATCATGGTAAGAGGCTAATAGTGAGCTAGGGGGTTGGGTTTGAAAGGCCAGATCTTGGGCACTGCTTTCACAGCATTTTAGGCCAAAGCACTGGTTTCATCAGAAAGTCTCTCAACATGTTAGTTGCTACCACAAGAATGTGCAAGAACTGCATGTATCAAAAACAAAGCCAAGAAATATGTCTTTCTCAGATCTGAACTGAAGATTTTTTTGGCATATTTGAGGTACATCCTAGTGACTCACGCAGCTAAGACAGGGCCTTTTTTTTTCTGCTCCTATTTAAGGAGATATATCTGGTACATCCTAGCGATTCGTACATTTAAGACAGGGCCTTTTTCTCTGCTCATTTTGAAGACCTGAGAAAGAAGGTTCAGTTCTTTGATCCCTAAACATAAAATTGCTGAGGTCTATTTTGACTGGACCTGTGATGAATACTCAGAATTAATTCGTATTAGAAATAAATAATAACTAGCGGGTGATGCTATAGAGAGAATAGCTCCCAGTCTGTTTGAGAACGCATTAAATCTAGCCAGGTCTCCTTGACCCACATATATTTAAAATAATAATAATACTTTAGGCTGGAAGAGCCTTGGCAGACCAGACACAGTCTCTATAGCTGGAGGTGGACAATGTAAGTGCAATTGAGGGAAAAGGCAGGAGTGGCAGGAGAAAACAGCTCTGCTGAACACCCGTGCATGCAGCATTGGGCAAGTCTTTGGAAGTAAAATACATATAATCTTATCAACGTTTGCTGTAACCATATTAATGCAACTGAGACATTATTTCTGCTCTGGATTTGTATTAATAATGGCCATGCTAGTGCATTAAAAGCAGTGCTGCACAGAGGGGCAAGCAGGGCCGCGCCGTGCAGGTGGCTGCCGCTGGTGGTCGCAGAGCTGCCGGGGCAGGGAGCTGGGGGCTCCGTGCAGAAGCGATGCTCCCGCTGCCGCCACCACGAACGAAACCCTGACTTGCCGGGTCACCCGCCTGCTTCGTGTGCAGTGACACAATAGCACTTAAGGTTGTTTTCTTATTACAGAGATACCATCACAAGGTGTGGTGTCTTGATTGGAGTCTAGCGAGAAAGTAAAACTTGTATTCACCCACCCACCTTTGGCAGACTGTCCGAGGGTCCCTCTCGAGCTTCAGGAGCGAAGGTGGTTCATTCACCTCCACCCAACGGTAATGACGTGTTGCTGCCTGCTGGACGTGCCAGGCTTGGCACTGGAGAGCTAAGCCTAGGACTTGCCGGTGAGATCAGCTGCAAAGTAAAAGTGGGATTGTCTGATGCCTCTGTTTTACATTCAACCTAGTAAAAGTTACTTAATACATTGTGTCATTTGCTTGTGAACTTTTTGTTATGATCATTAAAATACTCCTAATTGCTGTTACCATGCCACACTCCTACTTCTCAGAAGCTATTTTGCATTCAGCCTTCCTAGCAAACAAGAAAGCAATTCTGGTAGCAAAAATGTTACGGCATTTCTAGTTTTGTCTGTTGCTGCCTTTTAATCTAGATCCTTCTGTATGAAACAGAACTCCTTCTGGAGGTGCTTTGCTCCACTGAAACCGGGTTGTTTTATACCCTCAGCTTTAAGGCTTAATTCTTCCCTTTTCAGTGCAGTTCTTGAACCAGGCTGTCTTGGCAGGTCTTCATATTTTCTTTGTTTAGGTTTCTTTATTATTTTTATCAGAAAAGTAATAAAATCGACAAAAGAAGTTTATTCAAACTCTAACTATACAGTTTACCATACAACCAAAATAAAATGTCCAACATGGTACCTTTCATTTACAGCATCAGCACTTAGCTGTTGTAGTACCAGAGTTATGAGACGTTTTCTTGTCTTCACCTCCTTTTGAAACCTCTTTTGCACCAGTGTTTGCTCAGCATCCTCCATCTTCCCCAGGAAGGTGCAGGTACAAAGTGGAAAGCTTATCAGAAGAGAGACTAAGCTATAGTGTCCCAGGTCACAGCATGCAGGTCAGAGAAACAGCATTGCAATCAATTTAACAAGGTCTATTTTCATGTCTGTGCACTGGTGAGTTGGGATCAGAGTGGGTGTTAGTCCTGGGGATGGCGGGCTGGACTTCTTAGCAAAGATGACAAAGGTGTGGGAGGATGGAGTAACATTTCAAAAGAGAAGGTAACTCTATTTCTAGCTGGTAGGCAACAACACTCCTGACAATTAGGGTGATGTCTAGAAAAATGAACAATTTGTTTTTTTAAAGCCTAGATTAATGGAGGGAAGGGAGCAGCGAACTGAGCAGGAAGGGAAGATCAATGCACTGCATACTATTTGTTAGCCTACCTGCTTCACCACCTTTAAAAGCAGTGTAATATCAGTGCCATCGACACAGCCATGCGACGTGCCAGCCAACAGGGAGGCTTCAGACAAGGCTCCCAAATGCAGAAGTAGACACACACTTGTTCACTACAGAAGCCACGTGGTGCTTTTCAAATTATACTGCTGTTGGCCGATGCACAGATCCCCAGTACTGAAACCCACTGACGGGGCAGCCACACGCTCTGGGCCTTGCCCTTCCCTGCCCATCTCCCTCCCCGAGGCAAGGGAGCCTGGTTTGGGTGGTCCCATGACATTTAACCTTCCAAACCTAAATAGAGCATCCACTCAGTGCTGCTCCCCATGGCCAAAACAGGGGACTTTTTACTCCCTTTCCCACAGGAAGGTCCATTTTGGCACAATCTGTCTTTTTGTGAAAGATCTCTGTCTTCAAAAAAGGCACCACAGAGATGTTAACAGGAGTGCAGTGAATCGCGGCTCCCAGGGCAGTCAGTGGAAAGCAGTGAGGTTCTGGAGTTCATTCCCAAGCAGGTGAGTGGAAACTCTTGAAGCGGGCGGTGATCAGCGTGTCTGCAGGTCTGGTTTCTCCTATCCCTCAAGTGGAGGTGGGCGGTGAGCCCGAAGTGTGCAACATCGACATCTGATCTAAGATGTGCCAATATCCATTTGTTGCTTTCTGCTCTTTAGCAATCAGACAGAAACTTTTCAGCTGGTACCTTCTGGGTGATGAGGTTTGAGAAACAACTCTTCCGTCAGTATTGCAATATTGTGAAAATATTGTTAGATGATATAAGAGCTAAATCATATGAGCAGAGTAAGTTATCTCTCATCTATCTATATTCTACTGTATGATTCAGGCAATTTGTTACCAAAAACGTGCATTAATTCTCTGCGCAATACTGTACACACTGCAAGGGAAATGCTCCAGATGGAGCTGCTTGAACTTACATGAGCGTATTTCCCATTCACAGAAACCTTTAAACTTACTCCTACTTAAGCAACGTCAGTGGCAAAGCTACATTGCCTGCAACAGGCGTGGGAGCCGGTCACTAATTCCAGGTTGTGATAAACATGCTGTGCTCTATCTCTAATACTGTTATTGCTTAGGAGGCAGGTGACCCTCTAGTTGTTCTCTGGAGATATATTTCAATTTCATAATTTGTATTTGCCATATAAACCATCATAAAAAAAAACCATAAGTAGTGATGCCTATCAGTGACAAAGGTAGACACTGCTTCCCAGTGAAGCAGTGTTGTGTCATTTTATATGAGCACTGAAGGAACAAACCAAGTTTTAAGAACAACAATAATTGGCAGTATTTCTATTAAATGGCATTAGCAGTAATTTCTAAAAACTGTCTGTTAATTACAGCAGTCAACCCTTGCAGGCAGCTCAGTTTCACATGAGCACAATCCAGCTTCCAGCCATCAGCTGTAGCCTTTCCTTGCAGTCAAACAAGACGACATCTTAGCAAGTCTCTTTGCAGGGTAAATCTCTTATCACTGTTGTTGCCTTTTTATTCTCATCCTGACACTGCCAATGACAAATTCAGAAGAGACAGGTTACTGGCCACTGTGGGGAGCGGCAGCCACAGCGCTGCTGGTGTCGCTGGGCATGGGGTGCTGCAGAGGACGTCCCACCTACGTCAAGGCTTTCCGTCCTCCTGCACAGACATCTCCAGGAGCACAGCGAGCTCAGGCTAATCCTTCCATAAGTAACTCTAACAGTTTTGTGCTTATCACCTTGACTGGCTGTAATTATCACCGCTGTTAACACTCTATTGCAAGATCACTTGAGGCTACCGGCCAGCACCATGCCCACGGTGCTCGGTGCTCAGCACAAGCCCATCCTGAGCCCTCCACAGTCCTGCTGTGCAGAACACAAGTGACTTGCCATGGTGAAGAAAAAGGGATAAAACCAAATGGATACAATTAGCTTAGGCACAACTTAGTCATCTTCTTCTTGGTATAATTACAAAATGGACAAAGGTAGCGCCAGCTAACCTCAAATGCCCTTCTAGCCATAATTAATTATATTGCATAATAATGGTGTCGGTTTAAACATTGTTTAAAACCCATGCTTTGCTCGAAATTACTGTACAGCCACACTTAGGTCTTGCACAACAGCCTAACACATAGCAGTGTCTCGACTTCCATTTTCTATTTTATTGTGTCATCTGGGCATAGGAAAAGCACTTGACCAAAGAAGAGTCAGTGGTGCAGTGGTAAATAAAAGTGGAGAGATTCATCACTCTGCGGTATATAAGGAGCAGGTAAATACTCCAAATGCCCAGAGTAGAAGTGGGTACAAGGGAGTGCCCTTTGCCTGCATTTACCCTGGACTACACCACTTTAGAAGAGTTGCATAATTGATACAATTGAACCACATCAGGCCTTTATTTATAGAACATAATGAAATGGTTTTCAACATCCTGGATCATGCTACAAGGGCGATTGCCATATATGCATCCAAGGAGAATAAATAAAAACATTTCCCTAAGGTATTATGTCTCTTCACCTTCTCTAGTTGCAGCCAAGACTCAATTTGAGAAAAGGTCTGTAACGACTGCACCACGTAATCCTTGAGCACTATTGCACACATGTCCTTCGCAGAACCACAGCCCATACTGCTCCACAGTGCTGGAGTAAAGTTTCCCTCGTAGCACGGATACGTATACGTATAGCACTGTATAGATTTGTTGAGCTTAGCATGTGTATATACCCCAGCCTGTAACATGGATCCCGACATTGCACTTATAATTATTCCTTTTTCAAGCACCATAACTTGTGCTAGTTCAAACTAGTACTTGACATAACTCTGCACTGGCTAGAAAGCATCCCTCTTTACGCGATGCTCAACTATGTCTATTGCATCATTTGAGTTTGGCCTTTACTTACAGTGTTGCCTTGTTTTGTGTGTACACTTCATAATTAGAGTTACTAATTGCAAACTTGCTTGCTGCCTTTGGTTGCTTGTTCCAGAGCTTGAAGAAAGATCACAATTACTCACTTCTCGATTGCTCCAAGTACATTTTCACAACTTGAAAAGAAACCATGACTAGGTTTATAACCTACCTTATTTTTAAATTTTAGGTTCATGCAGCTGATGCAGAAATGCTGTCGTCTCAGAAGTGATTTGGGGTTTCATTATTCTTCCATTTTTTCCTGAATTCAGCAATATTGATTACCACATTAGACCTACTAAAGAGTTCTGCACTAGCTCTATTGTATATTTTAATTTTTTTTGACAAGTAAAACTTCAGCCTAGACACACTGTCATATTCTTGTTACATTTCGAAAACAGTGCTGAAAAAAAATCCATATATTTTAATTGGTCTTTAAGAAAGATCTAGTCATTTCCATATGGATGCTGCAAGCTTAGACACAATGGTCCCATTTTTTCTTTAGTTAACTCAACTTTGCTGATGATTCAATGGTGTTTTTACAAAGAAAACTTGGAGTAAGGCAGCCATGAATCAGGCTCACCGGCTCTGCAGCTCTCTATCTACCGTGAGGATCCAGCACTGGGTACAATCCTATCCCACTGCACGTCTCCCAGCTTTCAATCTGTCCTGGCTTGTCAGATCGTCATCGGAAAGGGATTGCACAGGTTCAAAACCGCAGTGCGTGCTGACTGCCATTGCAGTCAATGGGAATACTCAGGTGAACAAGATGAGCTGGTTTGGGCTTTTCTAATTACAAATCACTCACAGCAAAATATTGTAGCACACGGTTATATTTTTATTGCCCGTGTTTTCATTACCTGTGGCTGCCACAGACGGAGGAAGCAGCAGTGCTCACCGGCCCAGCCACGCGGGCAGCACCGGGCGGGCGGGAGACCCGGCGCCGTGGTCGTCGTCCACGTGGAGAAGTGGCCGAGTGCACTGGGATGTGGGGCCTCCTGCACACCAGTGCTGGGACAACTCCAAGGAGGCACTGTGGAGCGTGTGCAAATAATGCTATTAAAAACACTGTCGTCAGCCTTTTGGGTTTGCCTTCAGTGTGATCCCTTCAAGATTTATTGTCTCTATTCACACAGCCAAAAAGCAATTTGCAATCTCCCCCTTCCCCTGTATGTCATTCCCAGGTTGTTCCCTCCCTCAAATCAGTATTAAAGGGCATCTTATATATACATACAATACATATATATATATATATACTCATCTAGTGAAGCAGATTTAACCCTCTCCCACTCACACAAAAGTGGCACAGTTCCATCTCCCATACCCTGGGCTTCATCTGACAATTAAAAAACAGATCCCAGTTATATGATAGTCCAGACAGGCTCTGCAGCAAACATGGCCAAAGGCCTCTTATGTTAACCAAGAGCCACAGAGGACATGAACCATTAACCATGTGCATACATTTCTTGGTGAGGAGAGTGATAGTGGTGAGCTGCCTTTTAGTCCGTCAGCAGGCCAGGAGCAGGGTGGCAGCACGTGCCTAGTGTGGGCAGTGTAACTTGGAAGGTGTTTTTTGCTGCTTGGCGACAGCATCACCTTGGGCAGCATCTCCTTGGCTGCAAGCCCTCTTGAGGTTCTGCTCTCCACTCCTGCAAGGGACTCACTGGGTCCAGCTCGCAGCATCCTGGGGCCTGGAGCTGAACGTGCCAGACAGGAGAAATGTCACAGAGGGGACATGCAGACAGCTCCCCTGGGCTTTGTGGGACTCACCTGGTCTTTTTTGCCCCCATTGAAATCTTCGACTCTGGATCCTCCATCTGCAATCCATCTGGCTCTTAGAAGGCAACAGTTGTTCCTTCTTGGCAGTGCTGCAGCAAGAGGCATCAGACTCAAGTGACTAATGGGGACATAAAAAAAAGCCCCTCATCACTAGTGATGGTGGCAGAGGGAAATCGGGGCCATGAGCAACTCGGCTTGCTCCTGGCTGCAGTGTTGGAGCAAGAAGCAATGTGCTGATGCACTGCAGGGCTGTTAGGAGGGGACTGAAGGAGTCGCTGTTCAGTGACACCCATCCTTTACCAGGGCTAAGTAACTGTCAATTTAAAAGAAAAAAAAAAAAAAAAAAAAAAAAAAAAAAAAGAAGAAGGAACATCATGGGATCAAATAAGGAATGAGCCCAAAAGCCAGAATACAGTGATACTAATCTACTAACACTGATCTACTATGAAATATCAGCCTATATTTTTATCCTGTAGCAGGGAGATTGTTTTTGAAAACTTTTGCAGATTCAAATGAATTCAAAAACCTCTGTACCAGGTACAACCATTAGTCAGTAAATGAATTACACATAATTATCTGCTTTGTATTTAATTCACTTGGCTTCCAGTTTCTTACTCTTCACACAGTGAAACTCTCTATCTCTCTCACACAAACACACTCTCCATGGGCAAGGAGGTTTTGGAGGACTGCCACCGTCCTGACTCATGAATCAGGCTCCATGATTTGAATGATATTTATCTAAGCCTGCAAACAAAGAAGATGGCTATGTGTCCAATGAGGGAATAATTATTGTTATTATGTTTATAGAGGAACAAAGTCGGGAGTTAGGACCCTGGGGGGAAGGAGGCAGGCAGGCGCGCGGGGCAGCGAGCTGTAGGCGCTGTTTCGGTGCACGCACACAGCCGCAGCGCTGCCACTCGTGATTCAACCCCGTCAGGACTCGCCCGGCCGCCCGCGCGGGCGCGAAACCTCCCTGGGAACCCAGGACCACCTCCCGCAGCCTGGGAGCCTTCGGCAGCGGCCTGCAGTGGGATTTGGCCTTGGCACAGGACGCAGCGGACGGCTCGGCCGCTGCCGGCAACATGCGGGGCCCGGGGTGAGCGCAGCCCGCGGCTGCGCCTGGTCGGTACCGCAAGCCCGCAGCGCTGGCCCCGAGAACTCGCCTGCGCGCAGACAGTGCATGTTTGCTCTCACACAGGAGCCGGCTGCATGAGACCCAACTCCACAATGACTTTATTTTAACTAGAAAGATAAAAAGCAAAGAAAAATAATAATTTCCACATGAGAAATGGCCTTCTTTGCAAGTTGTACAGTAGCCGCCACAGCAGGTCACTAGAAATAAACACGTTCCTGGGAACTTCCCCAGCTTCATCCCGCTGCAGGGTTTCAGTCACTGCTGGGGACAGCTCTGGGAGCTGCAATGGTGGGAAGTCCGCAAACGACCCAGACTGGGTCTGTGCTCCATGTACTTCACGTGCGGAGTAATCGAGGAGGCTCTACCTATTCTGTAAGAATCCTTGTAATAGGCAGTAAGTTTGCCATAAGCAGGAATTTGAATTCAGGATTGCTAAAATGCAGCTGACTCTCTAACACCTTGGTCTGCCAGGGACTCACAGGAGCCCCCTGAAGCTGGCGGCCACCCCACCGCTCGCCCACACTGTCGGTGCCGCGGCACGCGCCGGCGCAGACGGGACCACCGCTCCCCGCGAGCAGCACAGGCCTCAGGCGGCCCGGCTCAGGTCGAGCACATTGTGCACATCTGCACAGCGGGGCCAAGACTCGCTGCTCTGCTTCTGCCTGCCACCACGCTGGGAGCAACGGCCCACAGCGTCACGGCAATGGCTCTATCTGAGCCCAAGGAGAACACCACACATCTCCATTACCTCGCCTTAGGACTGATTTTGAGACATCTTGCAACTATCTCTAATCACCTGCAGGTTAACAGTGCACAAAGCAAGAGAAACAGTCAATAAAGAATTTAACCGGAAATAATGATGAACTTTGAACCAGGCCTACAGGGGTGTAACCTGTCCTGCAACGGCTCATCCAAGACCAGTGTGAAATACTTCTGAATTTTGCCCTTGTTACCCAGGTAACCAATATAACGCCTATTATTATCATCAATGCTGCAAAAAATACCACTAAAAATGAAAGATAAATATGTTGATGTCCTTTCCAAACAACTTATTTTTAGCAGCAAGTTTTGTCTTGCTGGGTGTTTTAACTGATGATTAAATCCATGCTAGCATCCTAGGAAGAAACACGGAAAGGCTCGGAATAAGCAGGCATTGCCAACAGAATGATATGCAACTATAGTTTGGATCACAAAGCATTCCTTTGGGGTTCTACATTGCAAGTGCTGGCTTTTTAAAGCTGTGGTAAATCTTCCTTACTGAATTCCCTTTTCAGAATAATTTTCTGGAAGAGGTGGATGGAAAAGACCCACATGCCAACATTAACATCGCAGAAAAAAAAAAGAGAGAGCTTTATATAAAGGTATTCCAAAATATTGCTGGTTACAACAAGGAAAAATGAGCTTCTTGTGGACCTAGCAAAGCCAGGGAGTCCCTGCCTTCCACAGCATTGGCCTGTTGCCTTGAGAAAGCCAGTTCACCTCTCAGTGCTCCAGGTACCTACCAATAATCTCAATATAAAACAGTTGCCTCATCAGCAGGCTGTGAGAAGCAAAGGACTTTGCACTGGTCAGCCAAACTAAGAGCATTTCTTAGCCCTCATTTTGCTTTGAAGACTGCTGCTTCTAGATCACATTACTTTAGAAGGAATAAAAACACTTCAGTGCCCCGACACTTTTGTATATCTAACAGCTGGGCTAATAAAAATATTACTGCTCCCCCAAAACTTGGTCTGCAAGACATTTTAAGATCCTCGACCAAAAAAAGCATCCAGTGTTTTATGAGTTAGGTAGAGAAAGAGCTTAGTACAAGACTTAATAAATACAACTGAGTGACAACACTTTCTGCATCTCTCTCTCTTTTCCTCCAAGATTCACATGCTTTATATGATTACTACAAGGCAGGGAAAAAAAAAAAAGAAGAAATGGCAGTACCAAACTCACAGGGAAATCTCTCTCATTCAGAGTTCCAGAGACTTGATTTGGGCCATTCAGAAAGCCACAAATACTTCTCTCCAAGCTGGCTGTCAAAAGAACAGGGCTGTAAGTTGCTTCTTTGTTATAAATTCCTGTGTTTGGCACACTTGCTCCTGGCACACCTTGGGGCTGCTGCTGGACATGATGTGCCTTTATTTATTTAATATTGCAACATGGATAGCAGCTGGCTGGAGCATGGTCTTTTGTGGCAGGCACCACAAGACCACAGAGCATTCCTGCTCTCTGTTGTCAAACCCAAGGAGGTTTCTGAACAACGTTGCTCCGCAGATGCCTGGTCTTATCAAGCTATATGGTGCGGCTCAGTGCGTGAGGCTGTGCACCCTGCATGGGGCCAACTCTGCAGTGGGCAGCCAAGCAGCTTGGGGACCACCTGCACCCGTCTGCAGAGCTTAAATCAGTGGGGAGTCACTCCAGCACTTTTCAGTCCCATACAAGAACTTAAAACTAGATCAAATTTTCAGTGTGAATAATGCATTTTGGTGCAAGATGAGTGTGGAAAAATGTATTTCAAGTTCTGAGAGAAGCCCACTTTCCAGCTGACAAACTGTTCTATATTATCAATGTTATAAACTGCAGCACATGACGAAAGAGTAGAGATTTAGCAGGAGAGATTTGAGGTGAACATTAGAGCTGCTGGACCTTTTGAGCTATACCTGTGCAACTAGCCTGATATTTTACAGAATGATTAATATCCCATGCCTGTGGGGATTTTACTTTTTTTTCTTTTTCTAAAGATACTTAAGGAATGTAGAATAGGAATATTGTTTACCAGCTATGGGAAGATCACATCATTGGGCCATAATTGTGTGTGCTTTGGGAGGCCCAGAAGGGGACAGGGAGAAGGAAGGGAAAGAACCACATCTTTCTCTGGATCACAAATCATGCCCATTTGTACCTGAAAGATCATAAATTTTTCTGCTTGCAGAGTACTGGCATGTAGCCTGGGAACTTCCATTAAAAGATGCAGTTTTGCCGCACCGCACCTCTCAGCGCCAACGGCGGCATCTTTAGCATGCAAAAAAAAAACCCTTTAAGATCATGGTGATGGTAACAGAAACAAAACAAACAACCAAAAAAAAAAAAAAAAAAAAAAAAAAGCTCTAGCAGTGCTCAGTGTCGCTGTCCCATCAGGTCATCAGGGCACCCTCTCCCTAGACGCTGCAGACCGCTCTGCCTCCCTGGCTCCAATTTTATTCCACATTGTCCTGTTGCACAAGACAATAAGTTCAAGCTTTGCTCTGGGACAAATGTATAAATTTATATTTTGGTGATGTGAAGCAATCTAACCCTGACCTTGTGGCAACTGACAAACACATATAAAGTGTCCTCTACACCAAGGGAAAATTTGTCTTTAAAAGCTAATAAGAGGACAGGTCAGGTCCCTTACATCCCTGCCTGTGCAGCTACAACTTCCAAATCTTCCTGGCTTCTTGTTGAATAGGGATGAAAGTCATAACCTGGACTCTGTAAGTTCATGAGAACAAACGCGCCACAAAAACTGGTGTACACAGCATGAAATACAACCTTTTTTGTAGAACCCATTCCTGCCCCTTCTGTTCTTCCACCCCAAGCCGAAGCACTTTGTAAATGGGGTTAGTTCATCATAAACAATTGTTTTGTTTGACATATGGGTCCCAGATAGGGAGAAATAGCCAAAAGGAGGCAATTTTACAAATTTAACTCAACGTGTGAAACTCTCCACTGCAGTGGGTGTGGGTTTATATTGGTGAGTGCTTGGCTTTGCAAGAGGAGAGGGATAAAAGCCCAGCTAAGAGGAGACGAGAAAAGCTGGGCTGGGCGGGAGGGGCAGAGGAGGATTTTGCGTGCGCCTTGGAGGAAACAATGGGAGACAGGGAAGGAATTAGAAGAACCACATCCTCCTCTGCATCACAACCCTGCAGTTTAAGTTATTCCCTCATGCTGGACCAACCCACGGTGTCCTACTTGTAACATTGCTCCCTTGGGAATGCTGTGGCAAAGCTACATCC